GGTATCTCAAGTGTTTGTGTCGGGGGGGGGGCACGTCATGTGGGACTGTGCCCTTACCTATGGAATCTGATGCTATCTCCAGGTATATGGAGTCAAATTGAGTTGAATTCTTAGATATTTTGCTGGTGTCCTGAGAATTGCTTGTTGGTGGTGTGGGGTATACTACCCACTCCCACTCTCACATATTTTTGAGTAAAATATTGAATAAGAAAAATACCAAGGAAACATGAGCCAACATAGGTGGCCAATGTGAAATTGTTATAGAATAAATCATTCCTAATGGAATCCTTTTGTTGTATAATGTAGCTTCCCAATTCATGTTAGGCTCAGGAATCTTACCATGCTGTCAACATTGAGAAGGATAATATAGGTATTATTTGCTGAATGAATAATCAAATGAATGAATGAATGGAAGGAAGTATAAAATAACATATGATACATTGTTAAATCCTTTAAATGGCATAGAAGTAGAGTTAGTCTAAGAAGATAATTTTTTAACTGAAGTATAATTGACACAGAATGTTACATTAGTTTCAGGTGTACAACATAGTGATTTGATAATCTATATGTTATGCTGTGCTCATTATAAGTGTAGCTATCATCAAAGAAGATAATTTTCAAAATCACTCAAGTCACTTTTTTTTCCTTAAGAAAAAAAGTTTTTTATTTCATTCGGTGTTTAATAAAAAGGTGTGTAGCTTAACATGTTTTTTATCTTAAGTTGAAGTTATTTCTTCAGTTGGAAAAAAGGGTGTTTTGACTTGAATATATAACAAATATTCAGTGAAAGAAGGAAAATTAAAATAAATGTATTCATAAAAAAAAAAAGAAAAAGAGTTTTTATTCTTGCTTTGATTCTTATATTCCCCCCTAAAAAAAGAGCAGGCTGTGTGCTCTTTGGCCAAGGCTCTACTTCCATTTCTCCACTAATGTCTTTTTCACTTTGTTGGGTCTGGAACTTTATTTCACCCTCCTTGCAGGTGACAAAGTTAGCTCATTACTGTTTCATGGATTCTGGAAGAAGAAATGAGATTCCTCAGTCAGAGACAAAGAGCTTTCTTACTCAAGATATAACAAGCAGCATGAAAATCACCATATTTACAAGTTTATCTTGCCTCACATTCCATTTATAAGAAATGACCCAGATGCATGTTACACACACAAAGGATTTCCGTAACAGCTAAGGTACACTAAGCCTGGTGAATCCTTTTCTTTTCTTTTACTTTTTGTTTGCAATCAGCTTGTTCTTTGACCCACTGTGAGATATTACCACATCCTGCTACAAACATAACTCTGAGAAATAGCTGAGGAAAAGAAGCATTAGGGCCTTGAATTCTAATACATCCAGAAAGACTTATAGGCGCACTGAAGGCCCATGGAAGATTCTCTTTCTACATATCTTGTGGTAGTTTCACCTTCACATTGACTTCTCCCATTGGATGGTTATCAATATCTAGGGGGAGATGGGGTAATGATATTGCCCTTGACAGCTTTCTGAAAGACTCTTAAGCTTCCCTGTGGTTGGATCTATACGAACGAATTGATCACTAGAGCTGGGGAAATGTCCTTGACTCAGGCCTAGGTTTTGTACCCATCACTGAACTAAGCTCTGCGTTACAGAGAAAAGATTACTCTGATTATCTTAGACCAACCAGCTTATCTGTGCTGCTGGGGTGGGAGGATCAATTTTACCGAACCCAGTAGTTACTGCCTAATGAGGGACAGGCAAGATGTTAGGGAGACAGCCATGAAATATTCCACGTGGTCTCTGAGTGGTAGAATTCAAGAATTCAGATTTTTCCAAGTCAAATGAAGTGAGAAAAAAAGAAAAGAAATGAGAACTCTTTGACTCTCTCTTCTACACCTTTATTCTGGGAAATCATGTCTAGTCTGTCATTCTACTCACAATGAGCACGAGTTTGTCATCAAGAATTGTATTAGACCTGAGGATATAATTTTGAATAAATTGGGAACATCTGCTAATCTCACAGGGTTAATAACCTAGTATTGGATTCAGACCATTTAAGAGACCATTAGAGTGAGAGGGGAAGTCCAGAGTGATGGCAGCACATGGAAGGGATACCTGTGGGGGAGGAGGGTTAGAGAAGGCTTCCTGGAGAATGTGATCTGTAATCCGAGGCCAGAAGGATGAGTAGGACTTATCAGGTGATCTATATGTGGGGTGGGCTAGATAGCTTAGAAGAATGACTTAGCAGATGGAACAAAAAAAGGCAGATTCTAGAAGGAAAAGTAATTCTGTGTGTCTGAACCATAAAATTCAAGATAAGATACGAGGTTGGAGAAGAAGTGAGGAACGGGGGCAGAATGTATTCTCTATGTCAAGGAGTTTTGGCTATTCTGAAAGCCGTTGAAGACTTTAAACAGAAGGATAAAATGAGATAAACATTGCATTTTAGAAATTTCATCCTTGCTGTAAAATCAAAAATGAATTGAGGGTGGAAACAGCTGGTACAGACTAGTTAGATGATTGCTGAAATCAGGGCCAGAGATGGAAGTCATCACAGTAGTGGGAATGGAGGGAAGGGACAGATTTGCAATCTATTTATAAGTTGGATCCATCGGTCTTAGTGAGTAGTTGGATATAGGAGATGTGCATTCGGGAATCCATAAATTGTGGAGATAGGATAGCAATGATAAGAACAGGTATTTTCAATTCACACAAACATTCAAATCTCTACCACTTAGAATCTAAGGCTGAGTTAATTACCAGTAAAAGGGAGACACTGATAACTTCCTAGCATGGTTACTTTGAGGATAAAAATAATCTATGTCAAGGTCCTGACACAGATTAAATCTTCACATTAAAGCAATCTTTGAGCCTCTGGTTCTCTGGAGGAACTGGTTGGTTGGATGGAGAAGCTATTCCTTGACTGTAGCAGATAGGAGTGTGCTGCTGCAAGTAGCAATGAACTGGACCTACAGCAGTTTAAGTAAATAGGGTCATTTTTCTTGCACAATAAGGAGACTGAAGGTGGACAATATTGGTATTAATTTAATCAGCACTGGAGTCTGTGGTTTTCTTCAGCTTTACCTCATGGTCACAATATGTCTACCCCAGTTTCAACCTCCAGTGTCACATTTACATTTAAGTCAGGGTTGAGGGGAACCAGGCATAAGAGAAAGGTAATAAGTTTGCCAATTATTCTGAGTTGGGAAACAATGGAGGAAAAACAGAATTTGGAGGAAAAAAATGAACTTGATTTTAGGTATATGGAGTTTTCGGTTTCTGTGATATATTCACATAGAAACAGATTTAACGGGAAGTTGAATATATTGGCCTGGAGTTAAGGAATGGTATCTGAGATTGAGGGGGAAGATTAAATTCTGTGGGGTGAATGAGAAAACCCATAGAAAGGATGTAAGTAAGAAACATCCTTACTAGGGAGGACATGGTCAATAATCTCAAGTCCTCACAAAAGCAAGGAGGTAATAAGTGACCTTGCCAAGGGCTTTCCCTGTTGTGGGGATAGAAGCTAGACCGCGCTGGGTTGAGGAACACGAGAGATGCGAGGAGGTGGAAAAAGCACATGTAAAAAGTTCTTTCTCTTCTGTTCTCAGAAGTCACACTTTAGGATGCCACTTATAATTTTTTTTTTTTTTTCCAAAGAAAGACTTTGGGAAAGCCAATTCACCTCCCTGATGAGAATCAAATTTGAGATGCCTGTCTGGTCCTCATGCCCTTCAAAGGGTCTCTCTGAGAGCCAACAGTCCCTGATTCTACTGTCTTCCTTACTCCAGAGAGATGGGACAAACAAAACCTCTTGACGCGTTTGGCTTCTGGGGAGTGAGGCTACTGGATGTTCACCGCACAGTCTTCCTAGTATTGAAACAGAGTGTCTGGAAGTCAGTTTCGTCTGGTACCACATGTAACACAAATTAACTTTCCCTACATGGATGAATGTCATGGAAAATAAAGACATTATGGGAAAATAAAAATGTTCCATTTGTATAATCTTTGGTAGATTGTAGTCACATTTAAAACATTAAACTCAACTTTTATTTTGGACCAGCCAGACTCATTAGAAGTGACGAAGGATTATAAAAATAAGAAACTTGTAGGTGACATTGTGTGTCGTTGGCTGTTTTGGTTTAAGCAGTTTCCTTCCTGATGAGCAAGGAAGAAAATGAAACACTTACTTAAATTTTAAGTAATCCAACCCATTCAAGAGACGTAGTTAAAAGAATATAATTTCGAAGGGGAAATTCTCCCCCTCACCTTTTCTTCTCCTCCTCTTCCCACACCCCCTCCACAACATCATCCTGCTCTAAAATGTATATACTTACCTGATGATTCAAAAACGTACTTTTCAGAGCAGAGGTTTTGAGGTAAAAACGCAAATGTTTTGCTTTTATTCTTATGGGATTAGATCTGCAGGCTGTAGACAGTAAAAACTTAGAAAAATAACAGTTTCACCCACTTTCACTCCCTTTTGTCTGTCTTAAACATCAGTGTGCTTATTCTTAAAACATTTATTTGAGAGAAGGAAATGATAGTAGTTGAGTTCTCAGAGCTCCTGTTTGAAGATGACCCTCGTGGCCTGGAGGTCAAAACCTTCACGGGTTCTCTACTATTTATAGTATTATTTAATGAAAGATTTTCAATCATTCTTTAAGTGCTCGAATTAAATGTTACCGGTAGAGAACTTTCGCTCCGCCGCCCCAGGCCCGCCCGAAATGGGGAAGCTCATCCTCCGAGCGAGTCTCTTCCCTCGGCTCGAAGTGGGCTGAGCAAAGGAGCGTGACGCACAAGTGGGCGGTGTCCCCGATGCTCGGGAGCGATTCTGCCTCCTGGTGAATCATCGTATTAGCTGCGCAAGTTCGCAGCGGCCGCCGGCACCGCGGCCGGAGCAGGAGCTCAGCCTCTGCGCTCCGCAGCCCTGCCTCCTTGGCAGGCGCCTGGAGCTAAGCACCCATCTCAACTGCAAGAGAGCCTAGTCTGTCTTTTCAGGCTTTTCACGGTACCCGGCTAAAAGGAGAAAATGGGCACGGGGGATTTTATCTGCATTTCCATGACCGGAGGGGCGCCCTGGGGCTTCAGACTGCAAGGTGGCAAGGAGCAGAAGCAGCCCTTACAAGTTGCTAAGGTAGGAAGGGGTGTTATCACGGCTCTGTGCTGGGAGGCAATGAAAGCAACCTGTTGATGGTTTTTTCAAGTGCTGATTCAGAAGGTTCTGTGTTAGTCTGATTGTGGCGCTAATACTAAATTTTCCCAGGATGCGGGTTTGTTCGTGTTTTGAACTTTCAAGTAACGTATAACATATATATATAGTTAACCAGTAATTGAAAGGGAAAAAAAAGGAGTGCCATATTTATCAGCTGAAGAAAAAGCTAGTTAATCAGCTTCTCTGACAATCAGCAAGACACTTTGGGAAGTTTCTTCTAGGCAATATGGGATATGCAGTTGAGTTACTGTTTCATGTTACTTTACTTGGTTCTGGCAGAAGAGAAAAGCTCAGCCCATCATAACCAGTTGGCTTGGCTTTGGGGGACTCTTGCAAAGCGTTGACTCTTACAATACAGCGTTTCTGAAAAGACTGATTTGGGACAATAATTTTAAATATATGATGAAATGTCATAAAATTTATTAGAATATTATTTTAAGGATTTTACAAATAAATGCAAAAATCTACCATCATGTGTACTCATCTAGTTAAGTGCTCAAAATAAAATTCAAAGACATTAGAAATACGTTGTAAGTAAGTTATAGGAAACTTTGAAATGCATGTAATAACCATTTGAAATGTTTTAGACGTTTTTGTTTCCATCCCATTGCTTGTTTCTTGCTACCAGTTTGCTGGAGGGAATCCGATATAGTCTACATTGGGATTCAGCTAAAATTAATTTTAAAATGCATGAAATTTAAGCGGACTTTTACCTGATTTGAATGCTAAATTGTAGTACTGTATGAAAGAACATGTTTGATTAATTCCCTCTTTATATAAACTTAAATTAAAAATGGGTCTAGATCTTTGTGAAATATGTGGACGAATCACCTTTGTAGTTATTCTTTCTCTTGGCTTTTTTTTTTTTTTATGTTCACTGTGAGGAAAGGAGTTTCTTTGAAATTTTCTGCTCCCAGGCTACCATCAAAAAATCCTTTTATAATGTGATGGTGGAATCCTGCCACCTAGTGAAAATTTCAAATATCAAGAATGAAGCATAAAACAGGGTGAAAGGAAGAATTTTTAGAGCTGGAAAGTTTCTCAGAGAGACCTCCAGTTCAACCTGTGGATTCTAAATAAGAGCCCAGAGAGTTTAAGTAACTTTCCTCTGCTTCAGACTAGCAGTGATCGAAGAATCCGGAAAGGTGGCTTCATTGTGTTGCTTTAGGAGTTGATGGCAGGAAGCATCAGACAAAACAGTAACGACTAATTTGGAGTATGCAGAATTCATGACACTGAACTGGATGTGTTCTGAGTCTAGAATAGCAGTTGGCTAGCTCCAGTTACTGAGATTTGGGTTCTAATTCCAGCTCTGATCTAACTTGTAGTAGACCTGTGACAAATCTCTCACCCTTCCTGACTCATCTGTTCTGAGGTGGTGTGTGTGTGTGTGTGTGTGTGTGTGTGTGTGTGTAGACGGAGAAAGAGGCAAAAATTTTGAGTGCTGTAGGAAGAGAGAGAAATAAAGAGGAAAATGTACTCTGCCATTAGCGAGATTCTAATATTGCTCAAGTTTTTACTGTCCTAATAGTGTACAACTTTAGAATCACTTGCCTACCAGTTAAAATGGGGGGACAAAGGTGGCTAGATGCTGTTATTCCCTTAGTTCTTTTGCGGCCAGACCTTAAGAATGGGTTGGGTATTTGGTTTCTCCTGAGCCCTCCATGTGCTTGTTTCAGAGTGGAACTATTGTCCCTCTCTTTCTGACCCTGCCCTGCTCACTCTCTCTCTCTCTCTCAAAAATAAATAAACATTAAAAAAATTTAAAAAGAGGGGGGCACCTGGGCGGCTCAGTTGGTTAAGCGTCTGACTTCAGCTCCTGTCACGATCTCATGGTTCGTGAGTTCCAGCCTTGCATCAGGCTCTGACGGCTCAGAGCCTGGAGCCTGCTTGGGATTCTGTGTCTCCCTCTTTCTCTGCCCCTCCTCTGCTCACATTCTCTCTCTCTCTCAAAAATAAATAAACGTTAAAAAAATTCAAAGTGGAACTATTGTGGGGTGCTTTTTGTTTTTTAAGAACTGAAGCAAATTGCTAGTGAAGGGTGCTTTGGGAGCATTTGTCTGCTGATGATGTCTCTATTGACAGGATTCAGAGAGGCTATTGCATGTCTGAGTGTAAAAAATTTCAATCCTGCTCTTACTCCTAAGTCAACTTTCCTAAAATACTCCGGCAATATATTTGTGATTTTAAAAAGACCATTATCATTATTAAAGCATTTGGATGTTTGTTTAGTTTTCTAGTTTGTGATAGTATAGTTAATTGTTGATTTAAAAATATTATGAAGTCATCTGGAAGTTTGCCTTAATTCTTGTGCGTGTGTGTCTGTGTGTGTGTGAAAGAGAGAGAGAGAGAGATACACTACAGTCTACTTCCCCCCATATGTAAAAACTGACTAGAGAGCCTTCTAAAGAAGAAAAAACTTCTGAGTTACTATGGCAATGCCTACTTTTGTTGTTCTATTTTTGCACTTAACTCAAACTCACATTTAATTACTTATACTAGCATTACTTGTTCTAGAAAACTCTTGGGGAGCAAAGTGCTTGTCACTTTGAAAGTTATCAAGTCCATGACCTCACTGGGATTACTGTTTCTCATTCAAAACATCAAGTCCACTCAGTTCCAGAAATGGTCCCCGGGCTCAAGGTGAAATGAACATGGCATGGACTTCCTCCTCTTCCAACTTACCTCCAAGAAGGAGGATGGAGAGGAACGGGGTAGAAAGGCTGGGTGGGGATGGTTGCTAACAAACACAGTGCTTGCAGTTTTGAAGAACATGCAAAGGATGAATTTAGAATTGAAGAAAATTTACATTAACAAAGAAAAGGAAATTCCAGACAGTGCTTGAATCATGCTCCCTTGGAATGGGAACGCTACAAAGTAGTTCTAAACAAATTTTTGGCTTATTTTAAAAGTATCTAGTGTTCAGATTTTTCATAAATCTGTATAAAGTGAAAAATCTAACAAGCTGAAATAGTGAAAAAAGCTTATCTAATGTTATTAACAATGATTAGAATTTGAGTGGACTATAATTCCCTGTAAATATCCTTCTAGTGACACATTTAGTCACTTGTGAGAGATACTCAAATATTTTTAGTATTTAATTGGCTGACTGAACTGTAGTCAAATTCCAGCTTTTAAAGGTCACTAACAGAAATATTAATAATCAAACTTTTAATTAGCAGTAAGCTCAAGGCCATAAAATGTGGATTTGTTTCAAGAATAAACTTAATTTTGGGGGCTCCTGGGTGGCTCAGTCTGTTGAGTGTCTGACTCTTGATTTTAGCTCAGGTCGTGATCTCATGGTTTGTAGATCAAGTCCTTTGTCTGGCTCTGCGCTGAGAGCACGGAGCCTGCTTGGGATTCTCTCTCTCCCATTCTCTCTGCTCCTCCCCGACTCATGCTCCTCTCTTTCTCTCTTAAAATAAATAAATAAACTTAAAAAAAGAGAATAAATTGAATTTTTTAAAAGGCCCAAATAATCAGTAACAGTTGCCAGGTTTTTACACATTTATATCTCTTTTAACTTATGTTCTAAATAGATGTCATAGAAAGCAAACATCTCTAATAAAGCGTCATAGGACAATATGCTGTATTTTGAGAAGGTCATTCATAGAAATAAATTTATTGAGACATATTTATAACATTAGACCCCATTATATGTATGCAAACATTCTTAGAAAAACTATGTTAGCACTTCTACTTTACAAAACTCTTTTTTCGAGTATATTCTTACATGGCTATGTCTCTGGTTGTGCTCTTGACACTTTGGAAAGTCTTCATATAAAGAAGTGGGGAGGGATTTTTGTTTTACAATCAAATTTTAGGAGCAGTTCAGAAATAATTCACATTTTAAATATAATAAAGGTTCACACTGTATCCTTTATATGTTAGAATGTTTAGCACTTTAAACTTTCTTTAAAATGTATAGACACTATGGTACTTATAATTCTTTTATTGAATTTCAATTCAAAGTTTCAAGTAGCTTTGATTAAAATTGAGATGACAAATTACAATAATCTATTTTATGAGGCAGAAGTGGATTTAATGATTCCATATGTCCTCTCTGTAAAACTTTAAGTAAACGTAAGACATTTAGTTAATTAGGTATTTAGGTAAGGCACAATCAAATAACAAAATGTTATCCATTAGTTCCGTTGGTGAGGTCTTTAAAATGTTTCAAATAAAATAATTCCAGAAACATAGCTATTTCTAAAGGGAAAAAGAAATATTTTAACGTGTTTGAATATGTGTATTTGAGGACAAATGCTCCTTACTACATATGGAAAGCTAGTAACATCTTTATTAGATCACTTCATTTTGTATTGTTTTTGAGCACTTTCTGGAAATTCTAAAAGCAGGTATGTTTACAGAACTCAATGCAGACTAGGCAAGTCTATTAAGCCTATGTTATTTAAATCTTTGCTTTGGAATTCCAGGTTTTAAGACAGATCACTGTTGAGAGACAATGAGCTAAAATAATGAGTATGCATGAACTTTACCATTATCAGGACATGGCATATATGTAGCTAGCATTTATCAAACTCTTTTAAGGAAAAGGTTCTTTGGTATTTTTTTTGTAGGTATTTTCTCTTCAAATGACCTCTAAAACCTAAGAAGAAGTATGAAAAATATCCTTATTTTAGAGATGAAGAAATCCAGTCACAGAACGGCTAAGTTACTTACCAAAGGTTAAACTGTAAAAAATGGCGGGATTTGATTGCAAATATGACTTCTGAATTGGTAGAAACAGGTACTTGAGAGAATAAAAGTAGGCTAAGGTGGTGCCAAATCTGATTTAATTGGCCAAGAGAGCCCCAGGTATTGAGCTTTACAAACACTCTGAAGACAGTTCTAATGTGTGGTCAAGATTTAGAACCACTGGTGTAGAAAGTTGAGGGCAGATATGTCACCACAGGGCTTAC